TGCTATGTATGTGCAGGGGCGGCGGGTCGTACCGTCTAACTCGTCAAACTCAGAGTCTTCGTCCTCGTCGTCATCCTCCACGCTGGCTTTTTGTTTCTGCTCTGTCGGTGGCGATGAAGGGGCTTCTGGTGCCTCTGCCGCTGTGGGCTTCTCATCGCCAGGTGAGCTTGCGCTGGTCGCGGGAGCTGGGGTGGTGTCTGCGGGGGCGGGTGGGCTCTCCTCGTGGCGTTGCTGAGTGTCGCCTGCACTGTTACTCGGTGATGAGGAGTCCATTGTGCCAGGTAATTATATACTGAGCGATTCCGAGAAAACGGCTCGAAAAGAATCGAAGGGGTAGAGACCGGCGTTGTGGTGGAAGGGAGATGGCGGACACTGGCATGTGATGGAGAAATTGTCGGGGTTCTTTTGGCGGGGAACCGAAAGCCGATCGCCGCGGCATTGGGACTCTGGGATTATTACTAAGGAGGACCCCTAGGTACAGCATCTGCAATTACTTACTTCAAGGAGCCTATAATGTTAATATATCCCTGCTAGTTGGGAAGGCCTTAAACGCTCTGAGGATTTGACTCTTTACATCGCACATTCCATATATCGACGCTGTACGTCCATGGGGCTTCCAGAATCACCTCCAGTGTTCAATAGATATTAGGTTGAATGTCTTCTAAGTGCTCTATGCCACCGCATATAGCTGAGCCAAAGTCACAAAGGACCAGGGCGCCCCATTCCATGGGCATTCTGAGTTCGCGGAGACGTAGATTATTCTCCCATCTAGCTCCTTCCTCAGGCAAGGGGTTTGAAGCTCCCTCTCTTCGAAGTCGCTGAAGACCGAATCATCGGCGATGCCGAACATGATCCCTGTTCGTCCTCATAAACCTTCTCGGTGAGAGTCGCGATGGCTGTGTCTGTCTCACGAACTGCGATGCCAGGAATAGCTCAGGAAACAGATCGCAGGCTCAAGCCAATGTGTGATCTCCTCCAGCTGAGGCAACATTTCGTTGTTCGCCTGAGAAGTAGTAGCCAGACCATATAGCTAGACCTGGGCCTCAGCATCAACATTCAGCTTCCTGGCCCATTTGCCCTTGACACCTTCTTTGGGCTTTTTCGACGATACTGCTACCGGCCCTCCTGGCCCAGTGTTGCCGGCGCCGTTAGGTCCTCCATGTCCTTCAGGACCTAAACTCTTCCATTCCATGAACAAAGCCACCACTACACGCGCAAGAAGCCGCCAAAGCTACGCGAAACACATCCATTACTGCCCTGTTGTGCCCCGGAAACCTAGCGAGTCCCCTGAGGGCTTATCCAGTTGTGGACATGATAATCGTTAACCCGTTGGCAGTCACATTGGTGATTATGAAAACCCTGGGATACTCAACCGTGGGACCCATACCAGGTCGAAATAGGGACCCTTGGGGTTTTGGCTTGTCTTCTGGTTTGTTCTTGACTGCATTTTGGAGATTTTTGGCAGAATGGTTTGAGGATGTTGTCGAATACGACGATCGTCTCTCCTGTTGTGCACCATGGACTTTTCGGTCACTGCTTCCGTCGGCGTATCCAATATGTCTTCGGTCATGGGTACAAATATAACATTAAGAGAGATACAACGACAAGCCGAAGAGTAGAAGACAAGGCTGTTTAGAATAGCAGTTCACGAGAAGTAGAGGGGATGTGTGCGGTATTGGGCCTGTTGATCCATTCTCCATAGTCTGGTAACCCTGTACGGCTACAAGCCTTGATGCATGCGAGTCATGGAAATTTTGGACGAGCGGCACATATTTGGAGTAGTGCTGAAGAGCTGAAGACACTGGCAGGGTTAAGGTAAGCTATAGCTTGTTGCATGTCTCCTTCGCCTCACATCTCTTTGCATTCTTCCCAAGTGGGTTCGAGTGTGCAAGATCCAGACTGTCGGTGAAAGGGGTCGCCTTTTATCATCCAACATCTGTTCCCGTGATCAATCTTCGTGAGGCAGGCATCGCAAGTTCAGGCGCATTTGACCAGAGCTTCCTAAAGCTGTCACCATTGCATACAAGTTACTAGTATCTTCGAAGGCACAGGAAATGACTTCAAGTGCTCGAGAATAGGATGTTTAACTGTTGGATGAAGGGAATGGATTGATTTCTTTAGGGAATTAGATATTGGAAGGGGGCACAGACAGCCTTTAGACCACTGGGCCACCTTGCCTGAGCATACTCTTGAGTATATCTAGAGTCGACGTAACAATTATCCTTTGATAAGATACCAGAGGAAATCTGCACTTTTGACGGATACAACTCCTGGACCGAGCACTCCTGGAATTGATCCTGTTGAGTAGATCTCAACCAACACTCAGACCACGATGCCTTTCTGGCATTTCTGCTAGAGAGTACTCTGTAGATACCCCGCGGAAAAGACCCCTCGTCCCCTGACGATTCGCCAAGAGTCCAGAAAAAGCTCAGATCATCAGATGATGTCCCCCGTGGCTGGTCCTCGTGATGTCACTCCTTGCCTGCGTCTCTGGCTCCTGGGTAGGCTCTTCACGACTAGATGATGATAGGCGACCGGGGTACGAGGTACGTGTCTTCTTTCTCCTCGCGGAGAGTGCCAGGGCTGCCAGGCTCATCGGAGGTCTCCTATGGCTCTATTTGACCGTGACAGCCAGGGGAGGTCATGTGCCATAACCCGGAATCAATAATGCTTCACTTCTGCTACGACGAGAGTTGAGTTTGAGTCCGTTGGGGATCCTCGACTTTTGAGTGGTTTGATTGACATGCTGTCAGATTGCTAACAAGTACGGAGTACTCATAGGGTAATCTAGTCGATGGAGTTGTATGTTTTGTTTGTAGGTACGGAGTACAGTCTTGAGCCGATGGAAGCCGGCATCGGCGGGTCTCGTCTGTCCTCTGTGCTGTACTCCGTACGCCCCTACATGAGAACCATGCCATAGGCCCTGCTAGACTGTTACATAGCTGCAACCATTCAGCAATGCTGGTTTGGGAATGCGAACATTATTTGTGTTAAAGTAAAAAGGCGATATCTATCACAGTATTGAATTCTTGAAAGTTCAACAGGGAGGTTAAGCGAGAGGCGTACCAGGGACACCCGAGCAGAATTTTCCAGTACCAGAAATCTGAGAGGATTGAGGAACAATACGGTATTTTTGGCTGTAAGAATGGTAAGGTAATGAAGTGTATTGTCCTACAGGACGGAATTTCTCCGCGGACAACTAAGGTACCCAAGAGACCACCTCAGACCGTCTAAGATGGGTGTGTATCGTACCTAGTGGAAGGATGATGAAGGGAATGGAGGTTTGGGATCCTACAGAGTAGTAGTTACGACGGCAAGCAACATATCTGAGAACCTGAGCAGCTTTTTATCTGAGAGAGAAATGACCACGCAGACATCCATGCATGCTCTCCTGTCTGGAACGAGTCTGGAAATGAAAATGGATCTCTTGTCATGGCCAAGTCCTCCACTTGTTGCCTGTATTGGGACATGGCGTCGAGGGGTGACCTGGACGGGCCAACAAATCCACAGGGGCACAACCTCGAGGGGCAGACTCTGACGACTGACGACTTGTTGTTTCTTTCTTGAATCAGACTGTCTCAGTGGGTCGATACCTCCGTTCGCCGACAGAGAAGTAAGAGAAGCGAAGAGAAAGTCGAGGATTCTTAGCTTTCACTGTATCGACGAAAGGAGGGGAAATCACCTGTTTGATGAATTAGACGGACTGAGGGGTCTAATGGTTTGATTAAGTAGAAAAAAGAAAGCAAGTTCAGAGCATGTCATCTGAGGCCATCGCTCTGTTAGTATGGTTAGCTTAGATGAGGCTATGGTCTCCGGTGTCCACCACGGGCAAGTCTCATTTTTTTTTACTTTTTTTTTTTTTCTTTTTTACTCCTCTCCGTCAATCAACAATTGGATTCAGACGACAAAGTGGGCTTTTTCTTCTTCTTTTCAACTCTTGCCCCAAGTCGCTAGAAGCAAAACTAATTATAAGATCCCTTTTCTTGTTAGTAAATAATTTTACCTCACATCTTCCCACCACCACTCCCCTTTTCCTCCTTCTCTTACCATCCTCAACCTAACTGTCTAGCAATCGTGCTGTATCTCTTATCCCATCATCAATTTCCTTTATGTCACACATCGACTTAGGCTCTTTCATCCTGACTGCCATCCGCAACAGCCGCGCGTCTCCTGCGTTTGATCGATAGCCCTACAGGAGTCAAGGTCTTTATCTCCGTATCGGTGTTTTTTTTTTTTTATCATTATCAGTATTTTACTTTTATCCATTATTTTTTTTTTTTTTTTGTTAAGCGCGGCTTCAAGCGACCAAGTCCGTCAGCTCCGGTTCATCGCAATCGGGGTTGATAGTGCCATCACATACATACTTTGCTATCTTTCTCTCTTTTTGATCTCTTCCTCGTTCGTCCTGGCTGAGTAGGCGGGGAAGGGGGGAAGACAGAAGATTCAAGGGAAGGAAGGCACCAGGCGCATCGTCGCTATATTTACCAATGGTCTCTATGGTCGAGACCTCCAATTCAAATCAAAATGACACGGCCACGGATTCGGTCGTGCCTAAGCCAGAGCCCTTGCTCGAGGGATCGATCAGTTCATCTGTGTCAACGCCTGAAGCAGAGGGTGAAGTTCCAATGCAGGACGTAGCCCAGACGCAGAAGCGAAAAGGTGGAAGAAAACCCGTACGTAAATCCATATCTTCCCTCTTTTCTGTTTTTGTTGTTTTTCTGGTTTCTCTTTCTTCTGTTAAATGCTTACCATGACCCATGGACGCATGAGATGTCTTATCTACATCTTTATCTCTTGTTCCTGCGTTAATGTGGTGTGCTTTTCCCATGTGGTGTCTGTGTTCAAATCTGGGGCCCCGCATTAGATCTCGCTTTATCCATTTATCATCATGATTGATCATCCCTTATCTTTTGCCTTCCCCCTGCTCATTCTCAGCCTTACGTCTTTCTATTTTTTGCTTCTCTCCTTATCTTGCATCGTTCTGGACTTTGATTTTTATCTCTCCTTTTATTGGTCACTCTTGTTTTAACATTTTAATCCAGATCTATGCCACCTCGGAGGAACGTAAGCAACGCAACAGACAAGCTCAGGCGGCTTTCCGAGAACGTCGCACAGAGTACATCCGTCAACTCGAAACTACTATCAAGCGCAACGAAGAAACCTTGCAGACTCTGCAGCAAAATCATCGTACAGCTGCCGATGAATGTTTGATGCTTCGATATAAGAACTCTTTACTCGAGAGGATCTTATTAGAGAAGGGTAAATGTCAACCTCACTTGTCCCCTCAGTCCTTATTAACAACCAGACTAGGCATTGATGTTCAAGCCGAGTTGCGACTCAAGGCCGGTGCTCCGTCAGGAGCACCGATCAAACCCAACATCATGGCTGCCAAACCCCCGTCAACACTAGAACGAGCGGCGGTCAACCGTACTTCGGCCCAGAGGCTTCCAGCCGGCATCGCCCCTAAGGGGGAGCCGTTCGCCATATCGCGTGATGGAGCATACGGCATGCCTTCACCGCAGTTCCAGGCCACTCCCTCATCACATGTGTCGTCCCCTTCTCATACCAAGTCTCCTGGTTTCGCGTTCCAAGGAGCCATGTCCCCCACCGGGATGGACGCGCAACAAGTCCAGCACGCGCGCTCCCAATTGAATCCTCATTCCCGGAGCTTGAGTCAGACATCTCCCCCGATGAGCATCGGTCAACCCGAGTCGACCGATCCGAAATCGGCTGTGCCTGGTGGTACCGGTCCCAGAGTCCCCCGCGTCCCCTCTGCTGCGTACTATCCATCGCCATTCCAGAAACATTACGATCAACTGGGTAAGCTGACACTTGTTGCTGTCGTTGCATTGTTTTTTTTCTTTCCATCCAAGAAGTGATTGCGTGTACTCATTCTTCCCCGTGCAGAACAGGAATATGACGCCCAGGCGGACATGATCGACGAAGAACATGAGTCGGTCGATGCACCCCCCTACGTCTCCGGATTCAATGCCGCAACTGCTTCAGTCCCTTCCGGCTCTCATTCACTAGGACCTCAACTCACCAACTTCAATCCGCATGCTGGGGAAGGATCCAATGGAGCATACGGTGCCCCAAATCACCTCCTCGGCAACTACGAGCCCATGTTGGACGCAGATCCGTTCGGATTGAGCGCTAGCATGCATTTTCAGACCCCCTTTAGTTATGAGCAAAACCATACGCGTCATTAAGCGTCGTTTACCAGTTGACTTTGTTTCCTGTTACGGCCTACTAATTCGCATATGTATCAAATGAAAAGCATCACAGAAAGGGAGGCGAGTAACGATTATCTCACGGCATACCTTTTCCCGCTTTCATACATGACGCTTCTGGTCCGTGGATTCGGAAGATAAAAGTTTTCATTTTCGGAGCATTGCCAGGCGTTCGGCATCGCGGTTGATACCACTTTTCTTTGTTGGGTTGCTGTTTATCGAAAACGGACTGAAAATTGTTCTGTTCAACTGTTTCAAGAGGAGGGCAAAAAAAAGTCCAGATTTGTTGTAAATGAACATCGATGTTGGCGGCATAAGACTGCAGCATGATATGGCGTTTTCTCTCGACTCCATACTACCAGTATATATTTATCATATCTGACTGTGTCTCTAATGATTGTACCGCCATGGTCTTTCTAGTCACGCTTTTTGATATCCTCCGTCGCTGGAGAGAACATCTGGTGGCAAAGTGAAGGTGCTGTGTGCAATAGGTATCCTTCGACTTCAAACGCTCATTGGCGGTTCAACCCCAGAAGTTCCAGATCAAGCGAAGCTCTCTGGCCACATGACAGCGCTGTCATATACTCTTAGGTTAATATTGACGTAGCGGTGCAGTTGTGCCCGTTAAAAAAGAGCTGACGACCTCCATTTCCGTCAGCCTCACTTGTATGATGCCATCTGCAGCTCCGAGTGACGCCAATACCCTAAGCCCTAGAAGCTCTCCGCCAATCACAACACAGCTTCCCGGTTTCGCTTAGCAGCAATCCGCACCTTACCCGATTAGTGCGTTGCAACCACAAACGTTGCCTCCATCCCCGAAGCCCTTCACATCACCACACCCAACCCCTTCCCTCTTATCCCCCATCATCATCATCCCCCTTATCCTATCTTCTCCCCAATCCCTTTGAGGAGAGGTTCGCTCATCGAGACAGTCGTCCAGGTTTACACCTTGCTCGACTCCTCCCCCCTTTTTTCTTCTACCGAATTGCTGCGGTAATAGAGAGCCTTCCCCCGGAAGGCCCCTCATAAAACCAGGCGTCATGGCGGACGTCCGGTCCAAGGTATGTGTGCGAAATGAGTTATTCTCCTGAAGTTGCCATCCTGCGATGCGATTCGTGATCGGAACGCTCCTCAATTGCTTTTCGGTTTCGAATTGAAAAAAACGAGAAACCAATTGGGGTGGGGTCGGTTCGAGCTATCGATCGACGCAGCGAAAAAAAAAAATAGAAAGATTTTTGAAATCCAAGAAGAAGCAATCAACACGTGAGGACTCAAGAGCAACAATTGGCTAACTGGTGTTCGCGTCAATATGAATAGAACCTCTACGAGCTTCTTGGTATTTACTTCCCTTCTCTCCCTCCCGTGTCGTACTCGGCATCACGATTACATCATCTGGTTTCTAACACACTGCCGCGTACGCGATCACAGGCAATGACCCTGAATTGGACCCCAACAGAGAGCCAGAACCCCCTACGCGGGCTGTAGACAGGCCTGTGCCCCGGCATGGCAAGCGTGATGCTCCCACTGAGCCTGCCAACCAGCCCCGTCTTTCGGAGAACAACGCTCGCCGTGGCGCTCGCTTCACTGGCAACGAGGCCGGTATGTGTTGCTTCCTTTATGTCACAAGATTTTCGAGTGGATCGAATTATCTGAACTCGGTCGTACATTTGACTCGATGGCGGTGAATTCCGGCTGATCCCGATTTCTTGATAGCTTTCCGTGACCGTCAGGCCGGCAGCCGCAGCAACCGTGAGAAGCCTATCGATGAGGGCAAGGAGCCTCAGCGCCGCGCCTTCCACGCTCGTGGCGACCGTGGTGAGCGTTACCGCAACGACCGTCAGTCCCGCACTGGCCAGGTGTAAGCATTCGAATACTCGATTGAAAGAGAAGAAAACAATGAACTGATCGCAATCTCGAAACAGCGACACCCGCAAGCAAGTGAACCAGGGCTGGGGTGCTCAGACCGGCGACAAGGCTGGTGACAAGGCCTGGGATGACGAGAGAGCCGCTGAGAACCTTGCTCAGAACGAATCCGAGCCCCAGACCCCCGCCAACGAGGAGCCCGCCGAGCCCGCCGAAAAGACCAAGTCCTACGCTGACTACCTCGCCGAGAAGGCCGCCCAGGGCGATCTCAGCGCCAAGCCCGTCCGCTCCGCCAACGAGGGCAGCAGCGTCGACAAGAAGTGGGCCAACGCCAAGGAGCTGAAGCGCACCGAGGAGGAGGAGGCCTACATCAAGGGCAAGGAGGAGAAGTCCAAGCGCGAGAAGCAGCGCAAGGAGAAGAACGTCCTCGAGGTCGACATGCGCTTTGTCGAGCCCGCCCGTGGTGGAAGCGCTGGCCGTGGCCGTGGTGGCCGTGGCGGCCGTGGTGGTCGCGGTGGCCGTGGCAACGGTGCTCCCCGTGGTGGTGAGCAGCGCGGCGCCGCCCCTGTCACCGTCGACGAGAAGAACTTCCCCACCCTCGGTGCCAAATAAAATCTGTCCAGCATTGACGGTTGCCCGGACGAGGGGGAACGGTTTATTTTCACTGGCCTAAGAGAATGTCGACCTGAATGCCCCCTTTCAACTCTCCGAGAGTCTGACGCGATTATGGAAATTGGCGGGAACGAGCAAATGAAGCAACTAAAAAAAGGGAATCTCACCGTCCTCGCGGTTTTCGTTTCCAGCTCTGAAAATGGCCTATGTAATTTGATTTGAGTGTCAAAAAATAGGAAATTGAGAAACCAACTTAAAAATTCTTAGATCCTCTTGTAATCGTAGGTAACGTCAGTCCTTACACCATGTTTATGATGACGGAGCCAGGGTTGCTTCAAAGCAATGCCATGTCCGATGATCTTCAAGTTGGCACCACTCGAACTGCATATATATAGGCTAAATATCAACGCAATATCCAAAATATCCGGGACCTATCCAACCGAATATCAAAGCCAAGAGCCCCCCCAACGTGGAAGTCCAGCGTCTACCTTACAGCTCGCCATTCTCGGAACCATACCCCCAACGACCGGACTGCGTCTGCAACTCCTCCACCGCGTTGGCAGCAGCAGCCATCCACTCCTGCAGCGTCTCCTGATCCGACTCGTCATCGAGAAACGCCAATCCCTCCATCGCCCTCCCGCCACAAGCACGCTGCAGCGCCAAGAACGCAAAATGGCCGCCGATCACCGGGCGCGCGAAGAAGTTGGGCCCGGGGAACTCGCCTTTGCCCTCTGTATTGTGGAGGTCCGTGAACGGCCGATCGGTGACGGTCTCGTTGACCCATCTGGCGACGGACTCGAGGATCTCGCTGCGCGTGCGCTCGCTGGCGACCGCCATGGCGAAGAACTCCCAGTCGGTCTTCGTGTAGAGGTGGCGGCTGTCCAGGGGGAGGCCGTATTTCTGGCGCACGTAATGGTACCAGATCGACTGTCTCTGGTAGATGTGGTGGGGCACGAAGCCGGGTTTGGTGGGCTTTTTGCGGTCGAGGGGGGTTTGGGGG